CGACGGTTTAAAATAAAAAAGAAGCCTTCTCGCAGATCTGGGACAATGGTACGAGAGTCGTACTGTGGAAGAGACTAGGAACATCAGCACGTAATATTCGCAAAGACAGCAGTGGTGCGCCATTGTTGCTCACCTTCACTGTGGAGACGGCATTCTTTTGTTTGTTGGTTGCAAGTAACTGAATGCAGGAGTACACGAGCGAGTTAGTGGATGGAATATGGATTGTCCACAAAATGGTGGTTATTATCCGCAGAATGGATTAAGATGATCAGGGGCCATGGTTTGTGGAGAAATCAAGTCTGTCCCATCAAGCACAGCACATGATGATGATAGTGAATTATGTTATGCTTCTCTCGCGCCCACCTTACCATCCTTTCCCAACAAACCCAACTATCATTTCATAAACCTCACATTGCTCTATATTTCTTAAAAATATCTCTTTCTCTCTCTCCGTCTCACGCTGTGTGTGTCTTTCTTTGTTTCTTGCTGTCTCTCTCCATCTCTTTCTGTGTGTATCTCTTCTCTCCTCCCCTCTCTCTGTCGCTCCCTCCCCTCTCTCTCCACCTCTCTCTGTGTATATCTCTTCTTTTCCCCCCTCTCTCTGTCGCTCCCTCCCCTCTCTCTCCATCTCTCTCTGTGTGTATCTCTTCTTTTCCCCCCTCTCTCTGTCGCCCCTTCCCTCTCTTTCCACCTCTCTCTGTGTATATCTGTCTTTTCCTCCTCCTCCTCTCTCTCTCTCTCTCTCTCTCTCTCTCTCTCTGTTGCGCTCTCCCCCTCTCTGTCCTTTTCTGTCAGTCTTTCTCCTCTGTCTCTGCCTTTCTTTCCACTCCTCTCTCTCTCTTTTCTCGTGGTTTCGTTCGTGAGTTCTTTCGTTCACTTACACGCACGCACACACACACACACACACAATAGGCATACAGACACGCAGAAAACACTTCGGTGCCTCCCCCACCCCCCCCCCCCCCCGCCTCGCTGGAAGAGGAGGCCATAATCCGTTTAGGAGCACGATAATATTAGAAAATTACCAGTAAAAAATTGTAAATAAGCGTTATATATATGTGAACTTACATAAAGTGTGTCAATAACAAACTACTTGTAAAGAATATTTTTAGGTGCTCTGCTAACCCTCCTTATAAAATTAAGTTCCGGCTGCTATCATCCCCCCCCCCCCCCCGCACACACACACAAACACACACATTTAGTCGCAATCACAACCTCTCCTCCTTGACGCCCCGGAAGCCTCCACCTTCCCTCCACGTCTCTGTGTGCCCACACATCGACCAGTTTCCAATCGAGTTCTCGACCTCCAGGTAAACAACAGTAACGTCCCCTTAGCCGGAGCTGTCACAATAGACACAAGTTAGCCAATGACAGCACGAGGCGCCATCATTGTCCGGCTAGGCCTGTCCACAGCCAAATCCCTGCGCCCCTCCCCTATCAGTAGATCACGGTTGGCGAGCCTTCAATATCTTCATGTCTTTGGGTCAGTTCAGTCTGTGGATCTCTCCCGACCTGCGACCTACATCTGCAAGAGACATTACGTTTATGTACGTAATGAAAGACCATTGGATTTTAACTTTCACTGCGGAATATTTGAATAATTAACTTGTGTTAGACTTGCCATCTGTACATCCTGTTCGACTCATTATTATTTATAAATACGTGCATCTGCATTTAGATATAATTTATTTCCATGCTTCTAATGTGGCGATGTTCAACATTTTACGAGGGAAACGTAATATTTTTCTTCTTGTTACGTTTAATATTTTTTTAAGTTCAGAGTTCAGATAACTGATTTCTCTCATCGTAAGGTTGATTAGTGTTTGTAATTGATTAGACAAATATTAAATTTTTTTTAAATACTTTGGCGTCACTGATGTGTAGGTTTGTGCTATTCAGAGCATTTAAATAACTCCATTCTGAGTGTTAACTGGTGTTTATTATTGAACATTCATTTATGTAAAATTATTCCCAAGACATTTTTATTTAACTAAAGTTTTTTTTAAAACTTTGTTCTACCCTTAATATTAACAATTGTTAAGTATTAAACACAGCAGGCAGGATGTTTACAAGACGTGTTTTCTGCGCGTAACATTAAACTTATGTTTATTAATTTAAAGTTTATCGTGTGCTAGTCTACGACTATCAGATCTATAATAAATTCTATCTCTTTCATGTTAATTAGGGTAAAGGAGTGTTTTAGACAGAATGTATGTATTTTAAGCACACATAACAAGAGTGACAGTGAACTTATAAGCAGGACAATTGTCACAAAAGGAGATTAAAACTAACAATTTAAGTGGAATTGAAAGGATTTACTTTCTCCTGTTGTGAACTACTAAATACCAGTCTTCGCGAGGCAACCAATCGTAGTTGCTGGCATTTACACCGTGTGCACTACAGGCCACTTGGATCGTTCACTGTATCTATTTAACGGCTCTGGCTAGTAGTGTTGGCTATATAATCTTGTTGAAAGCGAACTGGTGACAGTGGAATTGTTTGTAGAGCGATTCCCTGAGCCCATCTGTGTGGCTTGCGTTGTCCCTTCATCTGGAGTTTCACTTGCACGGATTTTTGTGATTGAACGTAAGTACAGTCCTGGATTTGTGTGATTGAACGTAAGTACAGTACTGGATTTGTGTGACTGAACGTATGTACAGTACTGGATTTAAGGTGTAACACCTTTAGCGTTTAGTCATTGAATGGGGAAGGGGGAGAGAGAGTACGCAAACTGATACACGCTCTTTGAGATTGCCAAGATGCGGAGAGGCATGATCGCCAACGCCAGTCTGCCATACTGTGATAATTATGATAGCTAACACGCACACACACACACACTTTCCCGAGCACTCTCGCACACACATGCATGCACATCTGTGTGGCAAAAAGCGGAAACGTAAGAATAGTCTTCTGAGCACATCCGTTTTACAGATCTGGCATATTTATATGCAGACTTTTCTTTCCTGACCTCTCATGTAGACGCACTCTGACTTCAAAGAAATCGCATTTAAATATCGTATTTTACGACATGCTTGTGTTAGGAGGTGTAGGTGGATAGGGTAGAGGTCGGCGTTGCAACCGCGCTCTGTAGTGCCGGGGTGCCCCTGGTTCGATTCCAGCTGCAGGCGATTTGGCAGCGGAGCGTCTTGCGTTGGTTTTAACAGTGGTACCGACAGCTAACTGTTCAGAAAGCAATGGCAAACTACTGAACGTAAGATTTGTCTAGGAAAACCACAACAGCAAAAAAATGCTGGGTCTGGTTCTGCAACGGCCTGTGAAGGATAGAAAACTTACTTGTGTGTGTGTGTGTGGGGGGGGGGGGGGGGTCTTATTTATTATCAGTTTTCTTTGAAAGTGTTTGCAGCCGAGCCCTCCCCCCCCCCCCCTTTTCAAAATAAAATACATATTCACTGTAACTGATGTGTAATATTTATTAACTACCAAACATCAGTTGAAATATGGTCTATGCGGGGAGAAACCTTTAGGAAATGTTATGTGAAGTAAAGGCTGCCAGAGTTATATTTACATCATCCATCCATGTGCGATTCAAACACGCAACTAGCATCAATTCAATAAAACGCAT